TTTTATTTATTTATTTGATAGACACAGCGGGAGAGGGAACACAAGCAGGGGGAGTGGGAGAGGGAGAAGCAGGCTCCCCGCGGAGCAGGGAGCCCAATGCGGGGCTGGATCCCAGGACCCCAGGATCATGACCTGAACGGAAGGCAGCCACTTAACGACTGAGCCACCCAGGCGCCCTCCTTGACTCCTCTCGCAGAGCCTCCCACTGACCTGCTCTGAGATCCCTCCTACCTTCTTGTCCTACGCTCTTCCCTCAATCCAGGTCCATATCGTCCCCAAATCTATATCCTCAGCTTCTCCTCTGCTCTGGAGGGGTCCCCTCCCCTCACTGATCCTGTTCTCATTCAACTTCTACTCCTCTCCTCCCATTCCCACCTTTCCTGCCACACCAGTTCACTCTTCTCCTAGTCTGTTTGTCCCTTGTGCCACCCTGCTTTTGTATATTCTCCTTGCCGATCTGGAATAGTCTCTTCTTTCTCTTCCCTAAGAGTCTTCCAAAGAGCTGACCCTCCGGGGAAAGCCTATCTTAGTAAATCCATTCTAATTAGAGGTAAAAGGGTCATCATCACACCCTTCTGAGGCCTTGCTTCAACAAAGGGTCGGCCCTTTCTCTCAATCTTGATGAAACAATGGGAATCCTGTCAGGATGGTTCCTCAAGCTCAATCTTTCTTTCTATGTGGTTTCAGAGTCCAATGCCTCCAGCAGCCGGTGTTTGGCAGGTTGGTGCACAGGGACTGATTGGTGTGAAATTCTGGTAGGTGCCCCAGGGTCTGGGGGTGCACACTGGGTTCTGGCTGGCACTGGTCTTGGATCCTCTCTCTGCTCAACTCTGTGTGACTTGGGAGAAGTCAGTTACCCTCTCCAAGTCTCAAGCTTACTCAGCAGTACATGGCAGAGTTGTCATTGTGGGGTTGTTGGTAGTCACAGTTGGAGTTTTACACCTCATCAGAACCTGAGACTATCCAGAAATGACTTAGAGTAGGGGTTAGGGCCAGGCAGGTAATAAGCGAGGGGGGCTGAGTGGGGTCCCCATTGAACTAGAGAGTGCATTTCATCCCTGTACTCCATCTGCCTTCCCCCCAATTTAAGGGAGGGACTGTCAGACCCCAGTTGGGACAGTGGGTCCCAGGAAAGCTTTGTTGAAAGAATGCATGAATGGATTACTAAATAATCCCACAAGTGGAATATCTAAGCCTAAAAAGTTTCCCAGGCTCCCAAAGCCACCGAATCCTATTTGTAATCATTTCTTTCTTTCCTGCAGGAGCCTGGATGACTATCTTTCTTCTGATAGGCTTGATGCTGAGATAAAATCCTGCCCAGATATTTCCCCCAACTCTAGCCCTTGGCTTCTAGTTTCATTGAGGTAAGGGTGGGGTGGAAGAAGATTTAGGGAGAGAAATAGTCTGTCCTTTTGTTAGGGAGTGAAGATGGATCCCCTGCGTGTCCGAACTACTATCTGGTAAGAAATGTGGCTGCTGAGCCTCAAGCTGTGCTTCCTCATCCCACCATCCCTTCCCATCTCTGGAACTCGTCCAAGGGCAGGATTGGGCCGCTCAATGTGGTAGGGGGCTGGGCAAAAAGAATGGCCAATAAACAGCAAGGAATTCTACTTTGACTCTCCTTTTCTGTGTATTCTGACTACAAAGCTTCAGCGCTTTATGAGGAACAGGATATGTATATATGTGAGAAGTCACTTTATTCTCTATAGGTTCTGGTTCCCCTATATGTGAAAGACTTTGACCAGATGATCTCTGCTTCAACACCGGGACTGTATGACTGGTTCTAGGGAAGGTTCCTGGGCATTGGCCAACTGGCCAACTGTCTCCTTTCTTCTGCAGAATGGGCAAGAGCTATTCAATTTCAGAATTAGGATTAAATGATTCCATATGTTATTATCCTGCCTATTAATTATTTCTGACCTCATAAGCACCCCCCCACCTTCCTAGTAGAGGTGGATATAGGGAGCAATGTTTGTGCTACTATCATTTATCCATTCAAAAATGGGTTGGAATCTACTATGTACCAGTTCCTGTGTTAAGCCCTGGGGATTCAACAGTACATAAGACACAGTCTTTGGACCTTACAGAAAGGACAGTTGAGTGCAAGAAGTAGGTGTATGGACCAGGAAACAGGACAGGCTTTGTAAGCTGGCAGAAGTGGAACTTTCACAAAATCACAAGAAGGCCTCTTTTTGTTAGTTGTTTTGTTTTTGAAGTACTACTTTTGATTGATATCTATGATCATTTTGGAAATTAATTTCTTGGGAAAATATTTTGGTACAAACAACAATAAAGCTAAATCTAACAGTCCTAACGTTTCATTTGCAAGAACTTTTCTTGTCATTTAATGTTTTCACAGCTCCTGAAAAAAATTAAGTCTGATGATCAATACATATTTTTTTATGTACACCAAAGCCACACATTTATTAAATCAGCACGCAAGTATTTACATTTCATTGGGAATTCATATTCACTTTATAGGTCTGGAGTAGTTTGTTTATTTATTTATTTATGAGTAGACTATTTAAATAGACCTGTTGGTGAAGGCATTAACCCATGCCCTTATTTAAAATATATCCTGGGGGCACCTGGGTGGCTCAGCCGGTTAAACATCTGCCTTGGTTAAGCATCTGCCTTCGGCTCAGGTCATGATCTCAGGGTACTGGGATCTGAGCCCTGTGTCAGGCTCCCTGCTCAGTGGGGAGTCTGCTTCTCCCTCTGCCCCTCCCCCACCCCTCATGCACTCTCCCTCTCTCTCAAATAAATAAAATCTTTAAAAATAAAAAAAATTAAATTAAATATACCCTGAAGGATAAAGGCAAAATATTACTGACTATACTATACTAAATATCTCCAAAAGAAAATAGAATGAGGGCGCCTGGGTGGCTCAGTTGGTTGGGCGACTGCCTTCGGCTCAGGTCATGATCCTGGAGTCCCGGGATCGAGTCCCGCATCGGGCTCCCTGCTC